AGAAGGCAGTAAATTAATGGTGAAGCCTTCTAGGCTTTTTTTGCAGATAAGCAATTGCAGCTAAAGAGAGGCAATTACACAAAAATCCCGTCTCCTATATCTTTGGAAGGTGTGGAAGTGTTTCCATCACCAAAGCAACTGTTCAACCTCAGCACCAGAAGAGTGGAGGAAAAGTCTATGAAATCTGAGTAGAGGACCAAAGTCCCTGAGTACTACCAAGTTCCATTAAGGAGTGGCATGGCCAAAGACCTGTTGTTGGATAACGAGTACCGGTAGCCACGTGGGCTGCTCCCCGGGCTCCAGCCGCCACGGACAGAGGCTGAGTGACGTGGAATGGCACGGGCAGTTTGCAGATGCTGCTGGGGTAAGAGCCTGGTGCTGCTCCACAGCCTGGAGGGAGGAGAAGGAACCTCACCTTCCGGAGACCCACAGCACACTTCTGAAACATTTTTTCTGTTTTTTGTGCATTTCTGTAATTTTGTGCACAGAGAACCAGATTTAATTTGTCATCGCACAGTCATCACATATGAGGCAGATACAGTAAGAATTTAAGCTCCCTTATTTCAGGCCTTTTGCTTTAACCACAAGAACATCCGTCTATGCTATGTAAGAATTAGCCGGAGCATGAGAACTGCATGACACAATCTATAAGAATTATTTTTAATGATGTAGTATTTTTGAAAACAGTTTATGCAAGGATACTTTTAAAAGGAAATATAATGTAACTTGAGTGTACGCTCTGTAGAAAGACAAATACAATTAATTCTTATGTTTCTTAACTGCCTCCTTTTTCACCGCTGTCAGGAAGCCTGCATGAAAATATACGATTTTACACCAATGATGTCTGCATTTTGCTCTTTACCAGATATGACAGTCTGTATGCAACATGGCAATCTGGGAACTCCAAGGGTAACTACATCAGTAGTTTGTGTCACATTGCTATTTTCCATTTTTATTGGGAAGGATTAATTTAGCATTTGAATCAATATGACTGTGTAAGAGCATAAAAACCATCAGGAAAAAAAAGTACAAGTATGGTCTTATGTCTGGTTCAAGGAACACGTGTAGGAAAAAAGGCTGAAAATAGGAAACTCTCCCTATAGAATACAGTTAAACAGACACCAGTATCAATGGCCAAATGCTGAAACTACAGAATTACATGCTCTTTGTTAATTCAAACTTTTAATAGTTGGAGCATGGTGGTAAATAAAAGCACCACATTCCTCATCAGTTGGTATCTTTAAATTAAGGTAGGGTACCTGTGTAAAAGATTTACTTTATTTGAAGAACTCACTGTTGGCTCAGTACTAAGTCCTGTCATGGCATGGAAGAGTAACTCTCACCAATGCAGAAACCAGGAGGTCAATAAAGCACTCAGGAACAGATTTCTGTTCTCACTTGTGCACCTATGCAATAATTAAATAGAATAAAAGAAACAACAAATAGGAATCCCACTTCAAAAATGGATCTTCTGTAAGATATTTACTGTGACATCCAGGAAACCATTATTTTGCAGCTTAGAAGTGAGGAGTTCCAATAACAGACCAGTCAGCTTTTCTTTTTAAAGGGCGAGTTCAACCATTGCATATTCATGCATTAACTTGTATTTCTTTCTAACCTGATGATAAATGACAATGTATTTTAGGTAGTCTTTTCCATTGGACATTTGTTGACCTTTACGTGACTAGAATGAAAGAAAAGTCCAATGTCAACTTTAACCTTTCTATCCAAACATACCACAGGAACGAATACACGTAAAGCAAATCTGAATGTACAGCGAGTTAATCTTGGGCTTTTCCAGACTAACTTTGTACTGTAGTTCTACTTAAATCTGCCCAAATTAGCAACTAAGATACAGGAGCAGGTCCACTCCAATAGCCAGAGACAACCTGCCTTCACAGAATAGGTAAAATGAACTGCTCTTTCCTGGCATGCCTGCAATCCGCTATTACACCACAGCCCTGCCCTCAATCTCCTAGCACAGGTTTGCAAAGTGAGGCCACCCACAGAAAACACTAAACCAGCAAGTTCAGAGCACACACACCACGTGTCTGGTACAAACCTTCATCCTGGCTGTACACTAGGGAGCTTGGGGAGAGTTTTGCAATGTAACATGCTGCGTACATCCTTCCAGCACCCTTCTGCTGAATACTACTGAACACTACCATGAAGTATGCCTTACTCGCTGCTGGCTTCCCAAGCTGTCTGACAACAGGTTTTATCTTATCCTTACAGGATATTACCTGTATTAGCCAAGTACTTCACTAATTTTACTGTTCTTAAGTACTATTAATAAATCTTATCATGGAGTCTCACGAAGAATTACAGATAATGTGGCTTGCCAATGACTTCCCACATCCCATCACGGGAGTACCTGAAATAGCCAGCAAAACATCTCAGTTACAGCACAAGACCAGGTCAGTTACAGATTTCCTGCAGCTGTAGCTGGCGCAGTTCCCACCAGGCAGTATTTTAAGGCCTCCTCCTCTTTTGGCAGACTCTTCTGAGGAAAAACAAGAGCCAAAGCACTGCTCATCATTTCTGGGAAGTGCACCCCTTTGGAGGATAGCAGCACCTGATATTGCCCATGAAGATTAATCTAATAGTCTTTCAACAGAGCTTCTCAAAGGCAAACAGTCCACTTTTGCTGAGATTGAGATTTAAATGAGGCATCTAAACAACACAGCGAGGAGTAGGCAACAGAGAAGGCAAACTGTTTTACCAATGGTAATGCTAAGATTTTAATGTTTCAGGTTCTCCCAGTAACCTTATTTTTACTGAAAAATGAAAAATTGTAGAAGTTGCAGAAAAGAGTTCCCCAAATTCTTAAGGTTTAAGTAAAATTCATCACACCGAATCAGCCATTCATTTCATCAAAATGCAAGTTAGGAGACAAAGTGATTAAAAGTACAGATAAACTCATGGGAGCCAGTAGCAGCTATAAAAGGACTTTCATTTCCCTGGAGAAAGCCTCTAAAACATCCAGAAGGTATTATCAACACAACGTAGAAATTATGGCCAATGCCTGAATAATAGAAACGACTGACCATTGTCCAAGCTACTAAAGGAAATGCAGGATTTGCCATTATTTGGTGTTTTCTTGTCAAAACTTGGTGCCAAGCTGGAAGTCATGTGTTAGCCAAAGAGAGCTTACGCCTTAGCTAAAAGTCAAACAGGCTATATAGGGAGGTCAAACCAGATCCACTCATGCCTTCTACCCTTAAATCCTATGATTGTAAGGAGAGAAGCAGGTTTCCTCCCCCTTCCTCAGCCCTTAAGCAAAACAAGTCTTTTAATCTATTTAGAGGCCCTTTTTGACATTCTTTAGCTGCAGTTTTTCTCAATCAACCTAATCTTTTCCCATCAAGCTCCATGCTAATCCCATTTTGCTCCACTCCTTAAACTAATAAAAGATTAGAGTGACATTTCAGAAAGGGCATCGTATTAAGCAGCTTCTTTCCCATCTCAACAGATCACACAGTACAAAATGTAGTGAACAGGCCATTAATCTTATGGTAATGAGGTGTCAGTCTGAATGGAGACCTCCTCCTTGATCAATATGAAAGGCGCAGGAATAACGCGGGCACTGCTGCTCGCCATCTCTGGCAACTTTGCCAGAAGGCAGCAGATCCATAAAGTGTTGTTGTGATGGTGGCAACAGCTCTTGTCACTACACCGCCCTGCCCTTGACAACAGAGAGCAAGCATACACACTGATCTGTCACCCCCTGTGCTGCCCACACATAACGAGCTTTTCCCTATGTTCTAATTAGTGGCATAAAACTGTTTAACAGCTTCAGCTTTGCTCTAACGTGAAATCAATTAGGATTAGCAGCCACACACAGAGAAATTTTTCACACCTATCCAGCTGGTGAAAATCACTAACAAACTACTTTCTTCATTCCTACAGTGGACAAGCCTTTGCTCTTCCTGTTGACATCCCTGCAGTGGTAGTAGTCAACCTGCTTTTATACAGAAAGAATTTTCTCATTTTCTTAAACAAGTTGCCATTCCCCCCAAAGAAAGCTCTGCACAGCTCCCATGCTCCTGAAGACTCAAGTTTTATCAAGTGCTGAGAAAACTTTCCAGAGGAACTACGAGACCTGTCCTGGCTAGTGATACTTGGCATCCTTTCACTTGCTCTAATAGGATGCTCTTCCTTAAAGAGCGAGGTGGGCTGGGAAATCCAGCTCTTCTGCACACACAATGCCATTAAACTGGACTGAACCTGAAAGGGCTCTATGTGGTCACAACTGCATGTTTACACAGAACAAACTGGAGCAGCAGGGCTTAAAAATAATCAGAAGGGAGTCAATCCCAGGGAAAGGGCTGCTAAAGGAACAGTGGAAGACAGGAGCAGCACATCTCTCTTTCCTAGGGAAACGCCTCTGAGCATGGGTTTCACTTCTACATTTGCTTTTCTTTCTTGTGACTAATGAATAAAACTTGCGGGTTTGGTATCCCGAAAAGTCAAGTGTCTGAAGGTCAAATTGTCCTACGCTCTACCTCTGTAATTTGTGCTTTTTCATGGTTTGTGTAGTTACTACTGATATAGGTAAGAGTCCTAAAAATATTCACCCCGTAGTGGAATTCAGCCCTTCTCCTATTCGACACAGTCTAATCCTGCAGTTGCACAGTCACTGTTCTGTCTTGGTACAGTACATTAATGCTAAATATCAACATCAGAGAAACCGATTATGTGGAACTATTTCACGGACAACATTCACCAGAAACTACATCTTTACAGTAGATGACAAAACACAACATTTTTCTGCAATCACAGTAGGACACAGTATCAATGGTATTGCCAATAAATGCCAGTTTTTGACCACGCAGCCTCTAGCAAAGCCTTTATTCTGATTTTTTTTATCTAATTACATACATAAAAGAGATACAGTGAAGTAAAATAAAAAGTCCTTGTCCCATGCACATTTCTTAGAAAAATCCTACCTCTCCACCTCTTTTTGCAATCAACCGTCTTGGTAAAGCTTAGCTATTTACCTGTATACTGTGGTGGGGGGAGAATTCAGCGTGTCATAGATGAGCCTCACGTGTCCTTGGTACAATTCCAGAGCCAAAGGATCATTGTCTCCTTTGTATAATAAGATGCCGTTGTCCTTGTCCGTTGCTACCTGTGAAACATGAATAACCAGGTGAGGCTGCTTGAGAATGATTAAAAAAGATACAAACATATATTAAAAATCATACCAAAATCATATATGCAATTCAAATATGATTTAATAAATCATATTTATTAGCAACAAAGAGAGCAAGAGCCATGAGACACAAAAAGGTCTTGGTGACATTGAGTGGGCTCATATACAAACAGGTTGGCCTCACTGTAAGGGATGGCTCCTTTGTTTCAAAAGAGAACTAGTTTTCAGGAGGTGAGAGCTGCAATTTATTTGATTCCTGTCAATAGACTGTTGCTGTATTTTTGGCCACACATGAATTTATTTCTCAGCGACTACCCCAGCTTGAAGTGGAGGTTTAGAAAATCAGCTCTGGCAGTAGGAGGAGTGTGTCACAATTACAAGGAAACAAATTTCATCAGGCGCTGATCTGTTCACAGACTTCCTATGAACACAGAGAAGGAAAGAAGGACCTGTCCCCACATCTAGCATAACCATGAGTTATTCACTGAATCCAAGTTGCTAGCGAGTCATGCTGATTTCAAATGGGACATTTAGAGAGTCAGGAAGAACAGAGTAGCCCTCGTCCCTCTAGCTTTGATGTACATCAAGAAACAAAAATTTGAACACTGAATCAAAAAGCGAGGACTCTGCTTTCCCAGTCTCCAGCTCTCAAATATCCCTATGGTACAAAAGAAAAAGAAAAAAAAGAGTCAAAATGGGATTTTTGGATACAACCTGCCTGTTATTTTCACAGTGCATATTTCTTGAGATTTCTTGCTTATTTTTTTATAATGGCTGTTAAATGCCAAAACTAAACAGTAAATTTAAAAATCTGTTTCCATTTATATATATTTAAATACTACCCTTTTGCCCCTAAAAGATTTTTTTTTCTTGAGCACTTTTTAATAAGATTTCCTCTATCTGTTCTTAATAATGAATGTTATATTCTAATTTTAATTCACTAGTGATTAATTACTGGATGCAAGAATAATATTCAGCCTGGGAAACAAGCAGTGAGAACGTCATCTGCATGTGCTTTCTGTGATAATCAGTTTTATTCTTCAAGCTATGGCTGATGTAATGTGTTTTGTACACTTAAGAAGACAATGTCCAGATTTTCAGCTTTAAAGTTGACCTATAGCATTTGGAGCCTTTGGGGAGCCATATTCTAGAATGCCCATATTTTAGAATCTCTTTTGTGATATTAAATAAAAGGGGATTTTTAAAGAAAAACTGGAATTTCAAGTATAAATGAATCAGCTTCATTTTCATATGAACTGTATACTCAAGCTATTAAAGAAAAGATAAATATTAATTATGGATTTTTTTCATTAGAATAAACTTTGCAGGAACCACCCTTCAAAAATCTATTCCTAATGTGGAAACTCAGTCCTCTTTCCCATGTCTTGACATTGGTATTTTAATTACAACCAAACTCCATCAAGTAAGTCTACAATATGATTTCCAACTGTGGAATACAATCTTTTCAAACTGAGAAAATAAATGCAATAAAATAAACATGCAGGGATGATTTTTCTTCTCACATCTTTTGAAATGTTATGCTTCATTTGCAGGGTGAATCTAGCGTAGAAATAGTCCAGATTAACAATCAGTGGCCTAAGAAAGAGATGTATCATGTTATGTATGTGCTCCACACATCCCGTTTATTAGAAAACTTATACAGCGAGAAATGATTCCCTCATTTACTTTGGGATATTAGGGGGAAAAAAAGAGAACAGTTTAATGCTTACTTGATTGTGTTTGCAGATAACTTCCAAATCACTTAAATATCATATTGGACTAAGTATCCAAAATACCTTTGATTCACAACCACAAAGACGACAGTAGTGGCATGGCACCCTTGGTATCTATTTTCCATTGTCTTCTGAACCTTAGACCTCAAAACAAATTTAGGTGTAACTACAGGACTGTAACAAAATCCCAGGCCTTTTATCTACTGAATGTGCACAGTAAAAGAGTAAGCAAAATATTGTCTGGAAAGGCCATTTAGAGCAGCCTCTTTTAATAAGTGTTCTAATATGAAGCACTAATTACTACAGGATGAAACACAATGCTGTAAATCCGTAAGAAGACAGGGAGGTTTCCTGAACCATCTCTAGTTACGTTGCCAGTCTGGGAATAAGAGAGTGGTGAGACTCTGGAGGCAGGATATGCGCCCACAAAGGTAAAGCAGTGCCTTAGCTGCTCCTTAATGCTTCAGTAATTTTAGAGCAGACAGCTGGCTCACAAGTTGACTCTAACTTTGTCAGCATCTTGGCCAATAGACCCTGTTCCTTCAGAATGAAAAAATATATACATCTATATATATTATTGCTTAGAAGAGCACTGGGCTGGCAACTGATGTTCTGTGTGACATACCTGGAGGGAGATGTTTGCCTGAGGGCGAATTTTGGCTGATGGCAGCTCCACATAGGAATCCTTCCCAACGAAGTTGACTGTGATGAGCTTCTCGCATTTCTGCCCAGCAAAGCCAGCAAGGCAGCGGCAGACGGGCTCGTGGTGCACGACGATGCACTGGGCCCCATTCTGGCACTCGTAGTTATCACATGGGCTCGTCTGGAGAAGAACCATTGGTGGAGGAGTTTCACAGAAGAGTCCACTGAAGAAGGTAAAGGAAAGAAAAAGCAGCCTCAATTATCACCGTTTTTTTAAGGAAGGAAAACATTTTCAGGTGCTGACATTATACTACTATGGTGGTATAGCTGCTCTGAGATTCAGCTATCATGTGCCTGCTTTACTGTGTGAAAGCTGTACAGCATAGTGCTGTACAGAAATCCCCATGCTGGGTCTGAACGAGCCAGTTCAAATACTGAAAGCAATTTGTACTGCACTTTGCACTGGTTCCCTAGCTCTGGAAAGTACAGCAGTCTGTCTAAAACAGCTTCCATCCCATGCTGTGCCGTGCAGAGGTTCCCAGCAAAAACTGGGAGCCATGTAAGCCCAAACTGGAGATTTCCCCATCCTAGGCTTTGTGATTTGAGTCACCTATGCTGTTGTAAGTGGCAAGCAAGTGGAAAATCCTCTATTTTTAGTGTTCTTTACAGCCTCCTCGTTTGGTTTACTGTATGTCAGAGAGTGTATCATCAACAGATGGGCAACTGCTAAAAGGCTCAGAAGCAATGCACTGATACCACACTATTTGCTGGGCAGCTTCCCTGAATTGGTTGTTTCCAACAGCATCAGGATCATTAACTTTATTTTAGCTGAGTTCGTGGTTGGCAATGTCCTGGATCAGAAAAATGCAAAGGAAACGAAGCTTCCCCAGAATCAGAGGTAGCTGAAAACCAAATACTAGATCTGAGTACTGGTAAACTCGAATCATATTCAGATCTGGAGGAAAGTGCTGTGGTTCAATCTTAACTATATGAGAGGCTGACCAGAACCCACATGTAGGAACCTCTGACCTCTGAGGCTTGGGCCACATCGCCCAGAAGCAGCAACGGCTCAGTCCCCAGGCTGCCTTCTTGGATTCAGCATGGCTGCACACTTCATAGGTTATTTGCTGGAATGACTCAGCTATGCTGAAATACCAACACCAGCATAGAAGGAGCAGAGAAAATGGAGAAAGTGCAAAAAGCTGCAGTCATCTTTCAAGTGATGTCATGTGTTGGACTAAACTGCAAAAAGTAAATGAAAAACCTCTGCCCCGTACACCCACTGGGCCTGCGCAATCAATGGGTACAGCAAAGGGACTGGACCAGGCTCGCTGGCTGGCTGCACACGGTATGCCCCTGCACCTATATCCCAAATTTCTCATTACAGCCACTGCCCAAACCCAACAAACCCTTCCTGTACTGATGAGAGAACGTAAACTCTTTGTGTTGAGTTCTGTGACTGCTTGAAAATGTGTAGACAGTAAAATGATGAAAAATGGGTAGTTAGTGTGTAGGGAGGGTGCGTCAGGCTGTGCTGCGGGGAACGCCGTGGGGATAGCTGCAGCGAGGGCTGTGGGCTCAGGCTGCTGCACCACCTCTCTGTGCTACACAGCGTTCGTCAGCACAGTGGCAGAGGGCTTTCCAGGAGAGGACTGTGGCAGACCCATTCATGCAGTGAATAACCCATCAGCACAGTCCTGGAACAGTGAAATTCCTCTTGTCTCACCAGGAATTTCCTGCCATTCAGGGAGCACTTTGTGGAATAATAGCACTCTTATAAAAGCAAAGAGAAAAAAAAGCCAAAAACCTCACTCCTCTCAGTAAAGCAGGTGAGACTTGGAAGCTCTGTGAATTTCTAGGCAACCTTCCTAGATACAATTAGAACAGAAACCCAAGCCATTACCCTGCAGTAAATAGTACCGATACAAGATGTGCAAGAACAGCAAATAAAACAGCCATAACATACTCAAGACCAATCTTGCTTAGCCACAGAGACCAGAACCTGTTGCCTCTTTAACAGGAGGAAATGGGGATGACTGCTTTCCTTTTTACATTTTCTCACGTGAAATTTTGCCCAGAGTACCACAGCTCTATCTTTAGCGCTGTGTGGAATGAGAGCCCAAACCTCGCCCTGTCCCTGTTCTCCCAACACACACCACTCTCTAGTCTGCCTCTGGGAAACACGAAAGAGAGAGAAATACACAACAAAATATGTATGGGCTAAATCCTGAACTGCATCAAAAGCAATGGACTTGCTCTGCTTTTCTATCATGTCTGAGAAAAGAGACACGGGGCTTTACATTACTGCTTTTACAAAAGGCAGACCTGAAGAATGCCTTGAAAGCTGCAAACATTTGGGATTTGCACCTGGAATAAGGCCAGAAAAGCTCTCCTTTAACCACAGCTGCTATCCAGCACGGAATACCCTAACCAGCTTCCTAACTTTGCCCAAATCTGTATGTTGGCCTTGTACACGGTGATGTGGGTATGGCAAACAAAAATCCGTTCCACAGGAGTAAGCACAAGGAGGGTGAAAACCACTGCTGGGAATTTCCAAGGCCTAAAGCAGAGTGCCGTGCTGGCCTCTCGCCGCTGCCCTGAGAGCACACCCAGCAGGGACTGTCCCGCTCCAGCCCTGGTGTCACGCAGGCTTGGCTGGGCTCCTGGACACAAACACACAGATGTTTCCTTCTCAGCCAGAACCGCCTCTTGGTACTTTTCAGGATAAATTGCTTTTCAACACTTTTCTCATTGCATTGCCCTAAACTTCCTTTATTCACCACAAGGACGGAGCGATGTTTCACAGCCAGCCTCCCCATGCCCATCCCACCGCTACCTCACCGCTGTAAGGGGCAGGGAGCTGTGGTTACCAGGGTCCCCTTATCTCCCCCCACTGCCCGGGTGACACTTAGTGCCGTAAGTGGGCACAGTCACAGGCTGCTAATACTATCAGCATTGGGGGTTCGGGGTGGGGGAGCAAACCACTCCCTGTCAGCCAAGTGGTAAATATCATCTACAAGAAGAGCATAATCTTGCATAGGGACAAGCCAATCCATTCATTTAGACAAATGTATCTCAAAAGTGTAATCTGGCAGGCAATACTGCTGGCAATCAATAAACCCCATTTACTTTGCTCCAAGGAGTATTTGGAGGAGATGTACAGGGTCAGTAGAGTGGGCAGCAGTGGAAAGGGAAGCACAGCAGGCAGGACAGTGTGGGGGATTAACTGCAAATGGGTGTATTGGGTTTGTGTGGCCAGGTTGGTAGCGGGGGGGCCACAGGGGTGGCTTCTGTGAGAAGCTGCTAGAAGCTTCCCCTATGTCTGACAGAGCCAGTGCCAGCTGGCTCCGAGACAGACCTGCCACTGGCCAAGGCTGAGCCCATCAGCAATGGTGGTAGCACCTCTGGGATAACAGATTTAAGAAGGGAGAAAAAACCTGCACAACAGAAACTGCAGTGGAAAAGAACAATGAGAATATGTGAGAGAAACAGCCCTGCAGACCCCCAGGTCAGTGCAGAAGGAGGGGGAGGAGAGGCTCCAGGCGTCGGAGCAGAGATTCCCATGCAGCCCGTGGGGAAGACCTTGGTGAGGCAGGCTGTCCACCTGCAGCCCGGGGAGGACCCCACACCGGAGCAGAGGGATGCCTGAAGGAGGCTGTGACCCTGTGGGAAATCCGTGTTGGAGCAGCCAGGACCTGTGGCTCCATGGAGAGAGGAGCCCACGCTGGAGCAGGTTTGCTGGCAGGACTTGTGACCCCACATGGGACCCACGCTGGAGCAGTCTGTGCCTGAAGGACTGCAGCTTGTGGAAGGGACCCACACTGGAGCAGTTCGTGAAGAACTGCAGCCTGCGGGAAGGACCCACGTTGGAGAAGTTCGCAGAGGATTGTCTCCCGTGGGAGGGACCCCATGCTGGAGCAGGGCAAGAGTGTGAGGATTCCTGCCCCTGAGGAGGAAGGAGTGGCAGAGACAATGTGTGATGAACTGACTGTAGACCCCATTCCCTGTCCCCCTCTGCTGCTGGGGAGAGGAGGTAGAAAAAATTGGGAGGAAAGTTAAGCCTGGGAAGAAGGGAGGGGTGGGGGGAAGGTGTTTTAAGATTTGGTTTTATTTCTCATTATCCTGCTCTGATTGGGTTGGTAATAAATTAAAATAGTTTCCCCAAGTCAAGTCTGTTTTGCCTGTGACAGTAGTTAGTGAGTGATCTCTCCCTGTTCTTATGTTGACCCATGAGCCTTTTGTTATATCTTCTCTCCCCCGTCCAGCTGAGGTGGGCAGTGATAGAGCGGCTTTGGTGGGCACCTGGCATCCAGCCAGGGTCAACCCACCACAATGGGAAGTGGTTGTCTTTGCTCAGTCTGATATGTTTCTCAAAGTAAATTTGTTCTTGGGAACATTCCTTTGTGAACAAACCTAAACTATGAATTAGTTACAGACTAAGAGACTTTTCCTTCCTGAGACCCTTTGCTGAAGCTTCTTGACAAACCCCCACAGGCCACCCCGTTCCTGGAGAGTGAGCACAGCACCTCAGGGGGCATGGCACCACTCAGCAAAAGATGGTTTGGATTCCCCTTTCCAAGAAAACAAGGGAATATTAAAAAAAATAGCAACAACCTCATGGGAAGACAGATACACAGAAAGCAATTCTTGCCAATTTAAGGTAGTTACTGTAGTAGCTGCCTATCAGCACAGCAGTCAGACCCAGCCAGAGCTGATGACCTGAGGACACATCAGCGCCACGTCCCCATTGCTAGCCAGGCACTAAAGTGGACTGTCCGATTGAAGCACTTTCCTGTTCAAAGCCTTGTTTCATGAAGCGTGTGATCTCTCTCTCCAGCGCATGGCTTTGTGGCTGGCTGGCAAACATGTCAGGAGAGGCAGCAATGGGATCAAACTAGGGTCGGTCCCACAGATGGCTGTCACCCCTGGCCTGACATCAGGTGTAATTGTTTTCCAGAGGCGACTAGCAGAAAGGAGCACTCCTAACCCAGCCCATTAGCTTTGTTCTACCTAATGGCAATCATTTTGTTTTGTCTGTGAGCATCAAATAGAAAGCAGAAGGAAAGTCAGTGTATGTAATTCTGATTTCATGGAAGTTAAAAATAATAATAATAATAAATCCATGTGACCCACCACAGCCTCCACTAACAGAAAGCAAATGTTGCAAGAAGCCAGTGTGTCTGTGCTTGGTGCTGCTCTGAAAGATCCCCTGAGCTCCTAGTACAGCTCCTGCACAATCCTTCCTTGCTGTGAAACCCCTTCAGTGGGTGGCTTTACAAGTGCAGCTGTTCTGCTACTGGCACCTAGAAGTTACATTAGCAACAGTGTCTGTCAAGGCCTTTTCTTTTTTTAATTTAAAATATATTTTTAGAAATAATTAGTACTATTTATTTTCCTGGCAGTGGAATGTGGAGCACAGCCTGACTTGCATAGCTTGGCCAAGACCATTCTGCCTGGTACGATCTCATTTATTTAAATAATCACTGCTGAGTTTCTTGCAGCAAACTCTCCCAGTGGGGAACACTGAAGCATCTACACAATGGAGGAACAGTGCTTTCTATCGAGCTCAGCAGCCTTAATGTGTGCGTCCCCACTAGAGCAACATTTATCAGGACACCACCACTGTGAGGCTGATTGCTAGAGGGAAGGTTTGATAAGTTAGGTTTTATCCAATGGTGCTCACAAATTCTCAAAAATGTTTTCATCTGCAGGGGGTAAAAAAATGTTATTTTGGGAAGAAAACACTGAAAACTTTTCAGGAAGAAAGTATGAGTGATAAGGAGAGGTGCTGCATGGAGCCCAACTACACATGAACAGTGAATAGGAGATGCTAAGATGGGAAAACAGGTGTGGGTATGTTGGTACTATTGCTTATTGGTGCTGTCATCAGAGGTGTGTCATCGTGCATATGAGGCCCTAAATTGTTAAGAACTACTGCAGTACCGCTTGTTCAACTGTGCAAGGATGTAAGTTTTAACATCCTTATTAATGTGTGACTCCAAGTGGCTCTGACATATAGCACAGTGACAACCATAAAGTTGTTATAGGTCTATGCATTTATTACAACAGTGTGAGCTCCAGATAACTGGGAGGTCACTCTGCAAACTCACTGCTGGGAAATAATTCCTGATACTTAGCCAAAAAACTTTATTAATCATCATCTTAGGTCTCCTAGTTACCGTTGTCAGACCACCCCTTGTGTTCTCTCTTTTTCATCAACACTTGCAGCCTTCAAATACTTGCAAAGTTATCTCCTTGCTGCACAGCCCAGCACCTGAGGCACACTTTCTGAACAGTTGAGTCTATAATCCTGAACATCAGAAGGCTGAACTCGATCAATCACAATCTTTGCAATTGCAATCTTAACAGGGGAAAAAAAAAATCAGACCCCCCTTCAGAGCAGCAGGCCTTTAAACTACAGAAGGCTGGAGTCATGAAAAGAATAATGAGCAGATCATATTTTGTTAGCAGAATTTTAATCCTGAAATCAAGCAAGATCAGGGACTATTCAGCATGGAGAACACAAAGGGCTTCAGCTTGCTCTCTGCCTTGGCACGGTGAGCCTGTTAGTGCCCACTGTGATGTTTTTCTCCTAAAAGACCCTTGCTCCCTTGCATCTTGCACAGGAAATTTAGGGAGCTGGCATGGACTAGTGTGAAAAAAAGAAAGCAAACAGGAGACCTCAAGTTAATCCTGGCTCTGCTGTTGACAGGCAGCGGGATTACTTTGCTTGCCCTAGTCTACCTTGGGCTATGAAGTGCTGTCTAAGCCAGTAGTTGAGTTTTGGAGCTTTGTGTAGAAAGACGTTTCCTCTCTTGGAGGACTTTTATTGGAATGAAAGCCCCTCATTTAAGCGAGGGAGCAGGCTGGGCTGTTCCAGGTTCTGCTCTTGAAGTCCTTGGTGTGAGATCAGCCAACCCAGGGCACTGCCTAAATTGCCAGTAGAGCTGCTTGGTACACGGGAAGGGACCCAGACCAGTCTCCCACCTACTCTTGCTGCTCCGCTCAACTGTGTCACAACTCAAAACATCTGCCAAACACTGTGACCCTGCCTTCCGGGAAAAAAACCCTCACATTCATCACTGCCTAGTACTGACATGTCTTAAAAATCAGGGGACCTGCAGCAGAAGTCTCACAGTCACTACCATCTGATGACAGGCTCGAGTTACCCTTGACTCCAGATACGGCTTTGCAATCCCATTCCTCAACTTGAACAATTAGATAACATTGAGCATTTACAATTCCACTGTGGGACAGCCACTTGTTATTCTTACCAGTCACCAATTCGCAAGATCCCTAAGGCCATCAAAAGGATTGAAGTGGAGAATGAAACATGGAGAAAAGGTTATGAATTTGAAATTCAGTGGATATCTGATATCCTGTAAATAACAAGTCTGATTCTGAGAAACCACGGGCTGACATCATGTTATATATCAATGCCTATTCAGGGAAGGCTGTCTGCTTTGCAATAAAAATGTGTGTTGAGAGGGAAAAAAACCCCAAAACCAGCAAGGATGAAAGCAAGAAGAATGAAAACAGTTGCAGATAGAAAGCAGAGAAAATGATTTATAAGTGTTCCTGCAATTTCTGCTTTGTCAAGACTGATCTTTTCAGGTACTCCTTCTTTGTCTCATGTGTGTATTTCAAACACAGAAAAGGTTTAGCTGGAAGGAAGCAGTATCCAGCCTCAGGCAATGATTAGTGAATCCATTTGGAGCAGCACACTTATCTTTGACAGACAGAGAGATTTCCAGGAGTCAGATATATTGGCCACTGTCAGAATCAGAGACTGGAAATTTACAGCCCAAATTGTACTGAGCCCATCCACCAACAGGTACAGAGACACTGGCACAAAATCTTCAGACTCATGTTTTCTTGCAGCCAGGCCTGAGGGTTCATATATGTAATTGTATTATCCTTTGCTCACTCTCGCACATGCAGAGTTTATCTCCATATAATTCATGTGAGTGTATTACCTAGTGTTTTATCAGGAAAGGCTGGGGTGGGCAAGCAGGCAAACTAACGCAGCACTGCACAAAAGGCAAATTGCTGTTTTCAAAGCAAGAATTGTCAACACCCTGTATTCAGTTAACTCAGTAAGACCTACTTCAGCTACAAGACTGGAAGTACTGAGCCATCCATTCACATAGGAAAGACAGATCGATACCGTATCTAGAGGCTGATTAGCTCTAAGGATGAAAGCAATTAAAGAAAGTGCCCCAACACCATGTAGAGAAGACAGTCTGGGGGAAGAGTTGACTCTCACGTACCTGAAACCCTGAGGACAGACGCAGGTGTAGCCATTGACTGCATCTACGCAGACAGCTCCATGGCGACACTTATGGCCCACACAGTCGTCATCATCAATTTCACAGTGTTTTCCACTGTAACCTGGCAAGCACTCACATCTGAAATACAAGATTGCTGTTAATAGCTTGTTTCAACGTTCACAACAATAGCACACACAGGCAGCTTAGCACCAATCCGATTTGAGATGGAAAGGTGTTAGCAATTATTCCTGGAAACATCAAGCACAGTTCTTGCCATCAGAAATGCTCAAGTCCCTCCTCTGTGTCTGCAGCTGAGGTTCTGCAATCTGCTTAAATTCAAGCTGAGCAAAGCGATACTGTAGTAATGCTTTTCCCCAGCCGAGCCTGTGGAGCAAGGTACTCATATAGTGGTCTCTCAGTTATGCTAACGATGACAACGTCTTCCCTAACCTTACAGACGCAAAGGGCAATATTCTGCAAGAGCAGTTGCTCTGATGTCTCAGACTATGATTTTGCCAATATCTGCGCACTGCTGAGTGTCTGAGGTTGGCCCTGCACAGCTACACAGAGCGCAGTAAGGTTTCACATTCCAAATGGAAGCAATCTGCAAGCAACCCATAAAAGTCAGCAAATTTAAAGAAAAAGACCATCAGTTTTGAGATGACCACCTGTTTGCCGTTCATTTGCAAGGCATAGCTAATGTTGCTGCAACCACAGAAAGCTGTCTTTGAAGCCTGTCCTTTCCTGTGGTGACGCTCAGGCAAAGCGTGTACCTGCTGCTATGGGGTAATGCCATTCATAGGAGCAGCACAATGGGATGCACCCAAACTTGCAGATATTGGCTTTTTATTTTACTTTAGACAATTCTCAAGTTTGTTGTACAAGGGCTGCATCAGCATTTCTATTATAAGCCTTGCAGAAGTTTATAACCTGACAAGAGAAAATACATCCCAAAGTCTCTGACTTGGAACAGATCTTTTGGGAACGCTGAACAGCCTCTTTTTGAATCTATAGTGTAGACAATGTTTAGTCATGAACACGCTTTAGTCCATAAAACACGTTTTACTCCTCCCAGCTGGATGTTACCGCACATCTGGAAAACAAAAGGCATATCACTTCAACCGAAACAAGGGAAGAGCTACAGTTAACTTCAGCAATAAAAAATAGGTCTGTGCTCTTGCTAGAGGCCCTTGTTTGGACCCAGCATGCTTGCCACCGAGAGCTGGAAGAGGAGAAGCATTATAAAGCTGAGGGAGGCGGCATCAGGAGGGAAACTACAGCTCCACCGACCCATTCTGCTGGCCTCCTCCTCCTCCCTGCTGGCAGCCTGGCGGGGTAAGTGCAGGAGGAGGCTCCTTGTGGAAAATCTCTTCAGAGGAACTGGATGCATGGGAGCTGATGAGGAAAGATAGTTCCACTTTCCAGGCAGATTTGGTGCCGAGTGACAGTGTGTTTTGGCTCCTGGCCACTCCTCAGCTCGTCAGGGCAAGGTCCTGTGTGTGCTAACGAGCAGTGAAAGGCTGCCGCAGCATCGGGGCTTCAGCAACCACCTAGCTCAAGCACCGAGAAGAACGTGACCTTCAGTCTCCATTTCAAAACATGGCTTGTGACTGGCTAAAAAAAGGAGGAAACAGGGCAAAGCCTATTAATCTGTGGGCTGTAGGATGGATAACATTATGTAGATACATATACTTTCTTTTTCCATCCTCCCTACAGGAGAGGCCCCATCATGACCCTCCACAGCCACAGGATGGTTGATGTTCCAGCTCTGCACGCCTGAATTGCTTTTTTTCACCCTGGCCGCTCAGGGAATACTGTGATTAACATAACGGAGATGACAAAACAGAGCAAAAAGCAAAAAGTGTTCCTTCCCCAAACCATAAGAAGCGGGCAACATTTTTTGGCAACATTTTAGTCACACCTGCAAGCAAATAATGTCAATCAAAAGACTTTGTGGGGGGAACTGGCAGCATTTAATCCTGTTGCTTTTTATTGATCCCTGCAGTCCTAATATAAAGTGATGTAATAATGAACGATGTGCAGTTCCTTATTCAGGGCTGCCATGCATCAATTTTATGATGTGTATTGGCTATCTCAGTAATGACAGAACCACCACTTTTCTCTGCAGGGCTGCATTAAATCAGCATTTTAAGCTGTCAGGTAATAATTCCAAGCTTTAGAATAATAAAGTATATTTATACCATGCTCCAAGATCAATACAGTGAATGGAAAAACATGCTCCTTTCCTGAAGTTGTTTTTTTAGAAGTCATTTCATTGTGTTAAATGGTATTTTTTTGATTTTTGTTTTGTTTTGTTTTCTGGCATACAGAAAGCTACTCTTCTACTACAGTAACAGCACAGTAAAGATGTGGAGGCTGGAAATGAGGAAAGCCACCTGCATTTTTAGCTTAGAAAGCAAAGAGCTCTGTGCAGCCAAACACACACTAAAATTGTCCCATTTGCTTCCAAGCTTGGCTTTCCCCTTAGAAACATGGAATTCCTTTTGGGTCAGTCATCTCTGAGCTCTTAATGTGTCACATCTACGCTGAAGCTACCAAAAGATGCATGCCTGGAGTATAGCAGGTGGGAAACTCAGCCACGAGTGCCTCACCCAGCCTCCTCCTAGAAACCCAAGGTCTCCCCCACCAGGGAATGATGGCTTGTTAGTTCCATCCCTGTCCTGCATAGTGCCAGCAAGTGACGGAGTATCAGCAAAAGTATGATGCAGTAAAGAAGGCGGCAAAGAAACTTTCATATTCAAATCCTGGTAAGAGAGTAATTTACATGATTAGATCAGTTATCTCATTTCCCAGTGACCATCTGACACCAGTACAGTTGAAATCTTGTTTTCTGCTACAGCCTTGTAGTGATGGCAACATTCCCAGTATCAGAGAGAGCCTAAAAACATGTCTAGTGGTATTTAAAATGTTGGCCTATCCGAGGGGATTTGCATCTGCATGCACTCAATGTCTATTGTATTAAAGCCGTGAATCATGGCTTCTATTGCAGGGCCAGAATGGAATTCCCTTCCCATATCAATAAATAACTTGGCTTCCTATTTTTTTCCCTATCTTTGTCATCTTTTCCTCCCTCTGCAGAGTTGCAGACCAACTAGAGCTGAAGGCAGGACAGACAGATCAAGTGGTGTCCTTGCTACTATGATATTCTTCACTGGTGTGTCCTACTCATGTGCCCAGGGCACAAACCTGACAAGTGGATGGTCAGCTCAGGAACAAGCCTGAACCCTGCCATTAATATTCCCTGCTTCTGTAAGCAGAGCGGAGGACTGGTGCATGAGCCTGACTCATTCTGCACGTGGCATTATACTGCACCATTATGTGCTAAATGTATGGTACATCACAGGTCAGGAGATCAAACTGCTCAAGGGATCAGCAACAGCACAGGACCAGAGGTGGTTGTTTTCAGTAAGACCCAGCAGTAACCACACACCACTGCAAAAGCTGCTGAGGGCTCTCAGCCCATTTCTGAATGGTTTGGTGTAACTGAAGTATGAAAGAAAAAGCAATACTTGGACAAATGTATGTTCAAGGCTTGGCAGGCTCCTTCACCTCTCATGCCTGGCCTGTTAGAAAGCAAAATGGGACAGAAGTAAAGAAATTCTGGATTTTTGTGTAGAATTCTATGAAGAGTGGGAAGAATAATGCAACAAACAGTAGTAGAAAATACTTACAAGTAGTTATTTACGCTCCCCTCAAGGGTTAATGGCCTCACTGTGAAGAACACTTTTCTAGCAAGCAACCAAGAAAAAGTGTCTTATTTACTCAAATTATTTGGGTGGCAGGTATGAAAATGCTTCCAGCAAGAGTAAAACCATTCAGGATCACAGCTGTCTCTATCCCTTCATACATCTAGCAACATAAGGTAATTTGAGTTACAAGCCTTTGCCTCGTAACACGATGTAGCTACTGGATTAGCTGAATGATGGATTAACTAGGAATGAAAGTTGGAAAGAACATCAGAGACTATTTATGTACTGGTACACACCTCCTTATCCAGCCCCTGTGTACCATTTCAGGAACTGTCCTAATCATTTAATAGTTTCATCTTCCTGAAGAGTTGGAAACATTTCTGTCTGGAGATTTTTCACCCAAAAGAAAGGCTTGAGTTGTACAGATTGACTGTCTAGCACAGATTGAGCTGCCCTTGAGATAGCCAGCATCTCTAAAATTTTGGTTCACTTCCTTTTAACTATCCTGAAATGCTCTGTGTATTAGACTATTCTGACATGCCGGTTGCGTCGCAGGACACAATCTGACCCCACCTGCAAGTTACCAGGTAGACCAAAAAGTGCTACCGTCTCTCCCCTGTGACATGCTGGGTGTGCTGGGCCAGGGCGTCCCTTGCCAAAATCCCAGCCCTCCCTCCCAAGAGGGAATCAGTGAGCACCCAGGATTGCATTGCGGCTGTGAAAACAGCGTAAGGGGAAAGTGCAGAACGCAGCTCACATTGCACTGAACTCTCTTAATTTGTCTTCCTCACTTCTTTGATTCAAAGATCTTTTCTTGACAAGCTTTCCATAGAGCTTGACTTTTCAGTTGACTGTCTCTATTTGCTAAATTGCTCTGAAATTCCCTCTTCAGACAAGTGATGAACACTGCTACTATGCACCTCTCAAAACACCCCACCCCCCAAATCTCCAGATGTTTTACTGCCATTTAAAACACAAGGCTTTATTTTGCCCCTGTGAAACAGTCAGTGTCATTCCCAATATGCAAATGCAAACACAGACTTCACAAAATCTAACATGAGCCGCGCAAGGCTCGCCTCTGTAGCCAACAGAAGAATGCGAGCGAGAGCCATCCAGTTCAGCTGTTTGCTGCTGCTGCCCAGGTAAGGAAGTGTGGGGAGAGGAGCCCCACTGTGGTCAAGGCTGGCCTTTGCCAGTGCACCCCAAGACTGCCAGCCATCCTGGAAGACAACAGCTAAAGTGGGAATACAATGGAAAACTCCTGATCTGCAGCTTTATGCTCTAGCCACAAGTTTATCTTTCCCTTCTCGGTAGTTAGAATGGAGACTGGATTTTAAACACTGAGCCAGCGTGGGCTGAGGAGAGCTGAGTTACATCTGTTAAGGCTCCTGTTATGCTGCTTGAATTGATGGATGCCCTAAGGAACACATAAGGAAACTGTCCTTAGTTTCTGAATGCAGGATAAGATACTTTGCAGTAACTCTTCCAGAAGTACTCCTTTTGCCATGCTCTATTCCAGAATAATTTTTCTGCTCTAAAAATCCAGTATTTTCAAGGAAAATACAGAAAGCTAGAAAAGTATGGTCTGAAGTATATATAGTCTTGCACTATTTGCATTAATTTTGATGATTTTTACCCCAAACTCATTGCCAGTTCAACCCTAGTCAAGCCAATGGATGGATCCGCCCAGTGTGTAGAGACCAACATGCACACACACTCACCTGGTTCCTTTGTCAAGGGGAACACATTTGGACTCATGTTGGCATGGATTTAGATCAGGAACACAGTGGTTAATCACCTCATCACACAGTTCACCTGAGGCAAAAGAAAAGCGATAAAGCTGTAACACAACTTGGACAATCCTGAAGCAGCTCCAACCATGATGTTCAGGGATGGCAAATCTCCCTAAATGGAGACAGCTCGGTAGTTCAGCAGGAAGCGACAGTATTGCTTGTGAGGGCACATGAGACTTCATTAGATCGGGCTCCTTTGACCTACAGTGACTGAACTGTTTCTATCATATGAATTTGAAAGGCTGGTATAAAAAGTACTGACATATAAACTCCACTTGGAGACAGACTAAGGATCAAATGGGCAGTTCCTGACCCAGAACCTCTTATATCAAAGCAAGAAAGTGACACAAAAGTAAAGTCGCTCATTAGACCGTAACATTTTCACACTGAAATATATTTTAGCTGCAGTTAATACTCTGCCAAAGAAGCTGATTGGACGTCATTCTGGAAAAGAACAACAACCCACAAACCCTCCCCCCCAAACCTCTGCGACTCTCAATAATAGGAACCAGCTTTACGACTGCATGCAATTATAAAACATTCACTATTTATAAGAAAAGTACTAGCTCTATTGTGCTCACAGGAGATGATGTCTTTTCAGAAAAAAATCCATCACATGTAAGCTCAGCTCAGCTGTTTCTAGGTATGGTGTGTTACATGCCATGCACTTCCCTGGATTTGTATAAATTTTAATAATTAATAGTTCTAGAATGTTCAAACCCAGATAGTTTATTTAAATACCACCCTTCTCTGAGTCCTAAATTATTAGGTCACACTTCAGTACCCCAGGATTTGAGATCCAGCCAAAGACCACAGAAATCTTTCCCTTCCCAAGAAACCAACAGAAACCTACCCTGAACCTCCCAAACCCTTGCAGGAAAAGCAAAGGTCAGGTACTCTCAACACAGAAACCCCCAAAAGCTGCAGTCCCAAAGTCCCTTATGCAGCTATATCAGAAGACCACATCTGCAGGGTTTCAAGGTTTTGCATACTTTGTGGGCCTATACACGATACGTGCCATCACATGAACAACAAGCCATGTGGATAGTGTGGGGAAAAAGGATAATGTGGAAGGCACTGGTGGGCTGGCAATGTTTTAGCAGTATTTTCATGAAGCTGCAGCTCCACCTGCCTCAGCAGAAACTCCATTTTCAAAAATCCTTACACTTCTGACTCTAGTGGCTACAGAGAAACACTTGCAAACACAAGCCGAGCAAATCACAAAGATCAAAATTCGGATGGAAAATGCAAATCAGAACCGTCCATCATTTATCAGTCTTGTGACCTGGCAGGGATGACTGAGTGCACAATTTTGAGGATGACTTTGGTGGTGACAAGCATGGTTTAAGCTGTTAACACCCCCAGCTCACTCCTTCAGGTTATTTCTCCCACATCTCCAGCCTCCCTACAGTACAAGCTGCATAGCTCTTTATTTGATTCTTCATATTGGAATGGAAGTATAATAAGTATTTGCAAAAATTAAGCAATTTTTATTTTCAAACATGGAATGTCTAATGTATCTACTTTTGAAAGTTGTCAAGCCTGAGAAAGTGGAGCAAGAATACAAGCCCTGGAGGCATGAGAGAGGGTACTATCAGCATACACCCTGCATTCATGTGCCATACATACCCTCATGACTTTTAGTGGGCTGGGTTTGGCAATACCGGAGAAGTCTGGTATGGCAATCTGTGGTGGACAGTTTATTGTTCATAGTATCAGTTAAAAGACAACCAATTCCATTTGGAGCCAAGGAATCCCAAGAAGCCACCACTATTAAATACTACCAAGTCTTTTTACAGCCCTGGACAAATCTTGGGCAAATGTAATGAATGTATCCAGCTCAGGAAGGGGGACTGCCAATGAAATTGAATGCTGCAAATCCATGGGAACCAGGGAAACCGATCATTCACTGGACTTGAGGTTTGCCATAGTACTTTGTTATTCCTCAAAAGCAACTAGAGACCTTCAAGTCTTACAAATATGAACACAGTTGTCATCAGGGACAGCTATTAACACATTTTTGAGGTGGCAGAACTGGAGATAGCTCTGCTTACTAAGCAATCCCTAAATCCACAGCCCACCAACCTTCCCAAATACTAACAAGCAAAGTGACTCCCTCGGCCTTTGGGCAGACATGAACATGAGCAGGTCAGAACTTGCTACGATGCCTGGACAGCTGCCAGTTCATCGTCTTGGTATTCCTCATGTCCCTTGTGTGCTACAAATCTTATGTGAAAATAGACATGAAAAAAAAGTAACTGGCTGGTGACATTAAAAGAACTCAATGATCTAAAGCTGGAAATATTTTTGGAAGACCATTTAATAACAGAATACATTGTGGATGGATGCCTTCAACTATAATTTCACTAAAAATGGTCAATACATACCTTTGAAGTTTCTATGCATTTTTTTGTTTGTTTGTTTTGAAGAAAAGGAAACAGGATTTTAAAAAATAAGAACAGTTTCATAAACTCTCAAAGGAAGTCATAATTATTCTTAAAGTATTCTTCTCAACAGCCTTGACAAGTGCTTAGAGATCCAGTAAAAATCTCCCCAAATGTCAAATATTATGACTCACTGTGTCATTCTGAAGGCACCACTATCAAAGTGTAGGAGAATTCTAGGCTAGGTACCAAACATAGGATCCAAAAAAATTTCTCATTTTTCATGCAAAACTTGGAACATTTAAGGATCCTTCCTGTTATTTTTCCCATCTATCACTCATTAGGGAGCTCACTGGGGAATGCCTTGCAACTAGAGCAGCCTCATCTCAGGAAGAAAATTCTTCTCGATACATTATTTCAGGCTCCACCAATGTTCGCTAGATGTTGCAGAAAGCATGCCAGGGAAATAAAACACTTTCTGAAAAGCAAACTCAAGGCACCAGCTACACAAAGACTTTCTCATATTTTATCCACTCAGAAAATATCTGGGCCAAAAAATCTGCCCTCAGACCTGAAAGTGCAATATTCATTGGCTGCTTTAATGTCAGTATCAGAGGAAAAATCTGATCCTCTTTTTTTTGGAGTGACACAGGGCTGCTTCTCTGTGCAGCAATTAAAGGTCTAGTCCAAATTTCTCATTGGATAGCTATGTGAACCTAAAAACAAACCGGACATTAATCTTAGGCCAACTTCTAGCAGCACCGATTCTCTTTGTGGAAGATATTTGATCATGCTAAAAAACCAGAAAACTTCAGTGTAATGCTTTCCCAAATGTAGAAAACAATCCAACCTCCCCATTTTCCTCTTTCTTATATATTCTCAAATCAGAGGTCCAATTGGGTACACAAGGGTTTCTGAAGTGCTTTTATATAAGACAGGAAAACAACAACTATTTTTTTTTTTCTAATCAGTTCAGCATTTTTTTTATCCCAAATAACAGTTTTTGTTTCATCAAGGCATACTTAACTGTCTTTCATCAAAGCCAAAGAGAATAGATCAATATACAATGTACCCCAATGAAGAACAGGTTAAGACTATGTCAGATTTACAAGAGAAAAACCACTTATGCCATCAGATTTTACTTTTCATAGTAGTCGGAGGTATTAGGTCACTAATGGTCTGCGGTCTGTGGAACTGTGGTATGATATGAAGAGGGTACCTTTATCAAGACAGGCACATCCTCAGCTGTGTGGGCACGGCATTTCAAACTTCTTAAGGCCGGTGGTAATGTGCTGGTAGCTAGTACTTGTTTAGGAGAAGGAAGCATTAGACAGATGAAGGAGGCAGTCTGATCTGCCACAAAACCCCGCAACTTTCAGATTAGAACCACGTTGTACTGACAGGTGGAACACTAACAGGTGGATCTGCCATTGCTGCTGTCTCATGCATTTAAAAAAAAAAAAGAGAGGGAAAAAAAATCCCAAAACAATAGAAAAGGTATTCTGCCCCTTTGAAACTGCTTCCCTTGTCCCCTTCACCAGCATTGGTTGTTATTTTTAAAAAAACCCAGCAAAACATTTTTTTTTGTCTCATGCAACATTTTCCCGGTCTTATTTTTTCAGCAAAATCATTAATTTCATGGGGCTTTCCACATGCACTTTTCACAGGGCTCACTGCTTATGAAGAGCTGCCAAGAAACATGCTTAGGCTTTTCTGTAGCCTTCCACACATCTCAGGGCGAAGCCAAAACAACAATAGAGCAATAAAGATGACTTTTACACACAGTTTAATAATAATCTTTCTTTTTTTCCGTTCTGTGCTGTCATGAGAGCTATTTATTTCATGCCACATTAGACTTTTAAAACCAGGATCCAAGTTACACTATTTCTCCTTAATCAGTAAAAGAGAAATTGGATGCAGTAATAGTATTTTACTTATTTATCTGTAAGTAAAACTCCAGTTCTGAAAAGACAATCTAGACCACCAATTTGCAACCAATGAGTTCAATAATTTTTCTTTTGTTTCATATGTCAGTTGGGTGATACTTTGTTCTCTCATTCAGAGTATTCATGTAATAATTGATAATGCAACATAGAAAATATTCTCATCCTTAATGTGAGAGAAACTTTTGTAGGGCCTGGAAGACTAAAAGCAAAAATGCTGTCAAGAATTTCACAATATTACTTGAGAAAAGGAAAGTGCTTACAGTGAAGAAAGGATGAAGAAAGCTTGGCCTTTATCCACAGAGAAAACTTTTACGGGCTGCACAGGGAGAAGATATATATTTGAGTGGTTAAATAGTATGTTGGGATTTTCTGAACTTTGCCAGGTAAGTCAGAATGGAACTCTTCTCTTTACTGCTAATAAAAAGTACCGTACTGCTTTTCTCATAAGAGATTACTCATTTTGTATCTAATAACTTGTATCGGAAGAAATGTTTTTTGTATTTTGTTTTCCCCTTCTCTCTCTTCAGTTATTAAAAAGAAGTCAGTGCCAATTGGAAAATTCAGGAGAACACAGAACCTAAAAATGGTTGGGTGGAACAGACATAGGATGTTCCTCCAAGAAAATAATTCCGTTTGGAATGTTGTTGATGTTTGATGAAAAAGAATTGAGGCTCATCTTAGAAAATATAAAA